AGGACGGAGGGGCGCTCGGGAGGAGACACGCCCCCCCCCAGCTCCGGATCATGGACAAACTCTGGAGGCATTGGAGGAATCCTCCCCATCCGCGCCGTCCGTCCCTCCACGGCACAGCCACAGGGTCCCGGCAGCTGAGCCCAGCCCTGGGAGCACGGCAGAGGGTCACCCCGTGGCCAGCACCCCCCTGCCCGCTGCAGCCACCCCAGCTAGGAGAGACCCCTCGCTGTGCCCCAGGGCATCCTCGCAGGTGGGCTCGGGGCAGGGCAGGTTGGAGATGGTGTCCAACGTCATCTACGAAGGACTCAAGCCCCTGTCAGCCGCCGCGGAGGACTCGGGAGGAGAGGATGGTCCCCAGGGCCAGGCTCTCGCTCGGCCCCTGGCTCTACCCCCGCAGGAGCTGACCCAGCCAGAGGACAAGCCTGAGTAAGCAGATGCTTTCCCTTGCCCCAGGGAGCAAAGGAGGGGTGCAGAGCAGCCAGAGTCGAGGATCCAGAGAACCCCCCCCCCCTGGGACACCATCCCCAGCCTGGCCCTGCCTGCCTATGGGTGCTGACAAAGCCCCTTTCGCTGCCCTCCCCATGCCTTCCCCAGGCTCTGCATGGAGCAGCTGGGATCCCTCTGAGCTGACAGGGTGGCCCTGGGCCCCCCGGGTGGCTCGTGCTGCTTCTGGCTGGGGGGAGAAGATGCTGCCCCTCCTCTGCCCCCCAGGCAGCGGGGCTGGGGCTCCCCGTCATGGTGAGGGGGTGGCTGAGGGCTCTGGGGTTGGGTCACGCTGGGAGCAAGGGCGGGCAATGTTAGAAGGGGGATTGCTGGGATGGAAAATGCCTGGTGGTCCCAGAACACAACGCCTGGGCAGGTCCCAGGGTGGGGAGGACAAGGGAGCAAGGAGGGCACTGGGAGCAGGCAGGGGATGCTGCACATCCCGGGGAACAAAGCCGGGCTCAGCCCCGCTCAGGCGCAGCCTCCAGCCCATGTAAGCCAGGCAGGAAAAGAAGGTGGAAAAAACCCTGCAGGCTCCCACCCCATCCCGGCCGCAGCCACGCTAACCCCTCTCCTGTTTTCCCTCTCCTGTTTTCCAGCAGTCCCGGCTGGCCCAGCGGGGGCTTGCCCCCCATCCCACAGAGACCCACCGGCAAGCCAGGTGAGAGCCCCCCGGGCAGCGGTGCGCAGTGGGGACCTCCCAGTGTCCCCAAGGAAGGGGGGGTGAGGGGGACACCAGCAGACCCTGCCTTCCCCCCAGCTCCTGCCTCGCTCAGGGACCAGGTTGGCCCCGCACGTGTTTGGGCTGGCATTTCTGTTGTGCCAGATGCCCGGGATGTTGGGGTGCACTGGGGTGGGC